AAAATCTTTTGAGAATGTCTGTTTTTTGGGTTGGTAAATAGATCAGTGGAAAGAGTTCCGAAACCTACAATATAAAATTTTTATTAAAATCAAAATATTAAATTAAATTATAAATTAATTACTAAAGTAGTTCTAAATAAAATTATTCTATAGATGTTAATTTAATTATATTTAAATTTATTATTTTTTTTTTAAATAATTTTTGTTAAGTTACAAATAAAAATATAATTGTAGATTTTTTTACAACACCCTATATATAATTCAATATATTACTAATAATAAATAAAATTGGTTTAATAAAAATATATTGTTTTTATGATAACTATTATATATAAATTATAAAAATAATGATGTTTATTATTATACTTATAAATCTTGAGTTTTATCTAATAATATAAATATAAATCAATATTCATAATATTTAATATCTATTAATTTATATTAAAATCAATAATAATTAACAAGGAAAATTATAATTGATATATATTTTTAATTGTTATTAACCAATATATATCATCTTATTTATTTTGCTAATGTTTTAAAAAGAGTATAATTATTTATTTATTACTTTAATAAGAACAAAACTCAAAAAATATTTGAATTAAGTGATCTAAATTATAAAAAATTTTGTAAATAGTTTAATTTTAATCTTATATTTTTTTAAAAAAACTTTTTTAATAATAAAGAACATTTGAGTTATATTTTTACTTTTAATTTAAAAACATATTTTTATTTTTATATAATTATATTTTTCTTTTAATTCATATAATTCTTTTTGTATTATTCTATTATTTAAATACTATACAATCTAAAATTACATAACAATTAACTAGCATAAATTAAAATTATTTAAATATTTTTTTTAAAATCTGATTATAAATTAAATGATTAATGAAATTATTAAACAGAAATTATTAATAAAAAAGAATTGTTATTTTTAATTTTATTTTTTTAAATACACTTTTGCATAATATTATTAAAATTATAATTTATCTTATAATAAACAAATAATTGCTATATTATATTATATTATTATTATTATTATTACAGTATTATATTATTCCAATTACAGTTTGGTAATAAATTGCAATAAGATTAAATTTGATATTTGATAAATTTTGTAAAGAAAATTCTATATTAATTTAGAAGATATTACATACATTATATCACATATTAATTTAGAAGATATTACATACATTATATCACATATTAAGATTAAATCTTATTGCATCAAATTTTTTTATTTGTGTGTCTTTAAAAAAATTTTCAAGGAAGCGCACTATTTGATAAAAAAATCATTTTGATTTTTAAACAAAACAAAATCAAATTAAAAAAAAAACAATACTTTTGCATGACAAATATATTTAAATAGTTGTTCGAGTATTGATAATGATAAAAGGTTCAGCTAAAAATAAAAAAATAATTGATGAAATAAATAACAACCTTGTTAATTCATTATTAAACCATATCGATTCAAATAAATTATTAAAATAAATTAAATAAATTGATTTTTTTAAATAATGATTTTAGCATTGATTTTTGGAAAATCAAAATGATTTCTAATTATGAATTACGTATACAGTATATTACATCTAATTCATCAAATGCTTTTTAATAAATAGTTCAGTACAGTATATTCGAAAAATTTGGTTTGGATGTGTTAGACCTCGAAAAAAATCACTATTTCGAATGAATCTTGCTTTCGCGTCCCTCACGAGAACTGTAATCCAAATGAATGTCCTACTCATCATCACTTTTCGCCGAGTATTGATTTATTTAAATGAAGAAATATTGTACATTTTTTTTAATAAAATATAATATAAATACTGCGATTAATTTATCTTTACATGATTAAATAAATATGTAAAATAATAGTGGAGACTTTTTTTTTTTTTTACATTTAAAATTTGATTTATCAAAAACCATAACTTAATAATGATGCTAGGCTTCCATATCGATCAAGTCATTTTCGTTATTCAGCAATCTTTCTTCTTCTGAGGATGAAGAAATCCTCCTATTCCTTCGGCGATTCAACCATTCCTCAAATTTCATGATTCCAATTCTCTTCAATTTGCTTACGCCCCATCTGCCTATCTCATAAAATCCAAAAAACACCAAGCACCATATTACAAGCCACCAATAGCTTCGCCAATGTATTACCACCCTTCGTTGATGACAAAATGTTCCTTGAAACGAATACATACCCCGGTAATCATCAAAGTACGAATTCCATATACCGGCAAATGCCAATAGCGGCAATAACTTATAATAAGATGGATTATCGGGAGGATAGTAAACTGGTCGTGCACCGGCGGCATCAAACATGAAAGTTGTTTTCTTATCACGGAGTTGTGACATTATTCCTTCGGCGGTTAAGTTTTCAGTACGTAGAAGAGTCCATGAATGTGCGGTGGTTGAAGGGTGATGCAAGTCGGTACCTGTGAGCATTAATAGAACATGATCCCTGGCGAATGTGTATGTTTCATGATCAAATATATTTCCGTTGATTATCTCGAATCCGTCAACTCCCTTTATTACATAGGCGAATATAATTATTGTTCGTGCACTGTCGAAGGACAAAAAAATCAGACAAAAGATTACACACCATCTCAAGAAGCTCCTCTCGTGTAGGATGGTTAGGTAAGGTAGTCTCTTGATATCCCCACTCTAACAATGATAAGATTATTATATTAGGTGAAGAAGAAAACCGAGGGGTAATTACCGAATAAAGGAAAGATCATAACACCTGTGCTATTACTCCATGGAATATGATTGACCGTAACCAAACCTCCCAAAGTATGAACTTTATCGATCATCTCTTTGAGTCTCTCGTTCGTTGGCTCCGGATCGTTAAAGGGTTGGAACGGGTTGACCTCGAGACCGATAAATTGCATATGTATTCGACAAGAACTACATCAAATACAGACAGAAATGTCACAGTGGTAGAAATGACAACGATTCCAATCATACGAAAACTCACGTGTACTCGATTGCAGGAATAACAGTAATATTATTTCCATATTTCTCACGTGCAATTCTCTGGGTTTCCAGCCCACCTTCTATCGTATTATGATCACTCACAATGATTGCATTATACCCATAGGCTATCACGTTTAAATTGGTGTGAAAATTTTTTAAAAAAGTGGCAAAAGAAACACTAGAAAGCCAAGTTGATTTGATAGCATACCCATCGACCATTTGAGAACCTGTTCGGGAGTCATTTTACCATCCGAATAGGTAGTATGAATGTGTCCATTCAATAAAACGTTATAATTTCCAAAAAATTCTTCATTTGGTTTTAAATATGTTGCTGGATTGAATTTCCAATCAAAGTCCACCTCGGAAAAATCCTTTGAATCCGGTACTGATTGATATCTTAGTATTAAACTAAAGATACATAAAGTCAGGATGATGAGAATAAATTGACCTAGACGATTACACATTTCACTAAGATATTTGGTGTGCGGTTTAATCTTGGTAGTAAAGTATTTTTGGGGGGATGGACGAAACATCCACCTGGGTTGTGTTTGTGTCGGCGAGGGTGGTGGTGGTGGAAATGAGGAGAAAGGGGTATCAGTCTCCAATGGCTGGAATGGTGGATTATCATCGTCATCAAAAAAACGGCTCCTAAAAGGTATACTCGCATTGTTGAATAATGACGAATTGTCATCATCGATGTTATTATCCCCCGTGCCTCGGTCCATCCTCTTAGAAGGCGAGTGTTAAGTACGAACGAAATCTGAAAGGATTACGGAAATTCATAATATCTGCACCATATATATACTAAATTGAAGATAGAGTTTATCTGATGTTACCATCACCATGGTAACTGATGAACTGATAAGTCGAGATTCCGACGAAGTTTTGTATTCGTTTATAGTACTGATGAAAACACCTTTGCAATATGATTACATCTAATGATATTATACAACAATGTATGTGATGTATGTACGTTTTTTCATTGTCTATTTTGCGATTAGACTTGATGTTTTATGGATGCATAAAGAGTGGTTCCAGGTACAATTGCTCGTTCCGGTAAGAGCTTGACCATAAAATTGATCCCGACCAAAACCGTTAAATGTAGCGTACAGTGCATATATAAAGACTAGCAAATTTTAATCAATCACTCGTATGCTGATGCATACTGACGCATGTATGCGTATAACTTGAATAATTAAATCCGCGTTTCTCCTGATAAAAAAAACGTCATACGTGAGTGTATTAATTGGAATGTTTTCTATCGGGCAATATCAGTACGATCTTATTTGAAATCTCTGATTCGATCTTACTTTAATATTTTCACCTTTACCTTGAAGCAATCTTTAATTATTCCAAGCTGTCAGTGACGATAAAATGTACTTGCAGAATCAAGCACTGGAATACTTGTGCATATCTTTTTGACATAAATGAATCCAAGAAAGATGATTGATATAAACACAATATTACTGTGTATTTCTTTCCTGCGTATAGAAAGAACATCATGCGAATATTCTAATTGTCTGTTTTTTTTTCTGAAAGAAAAAAAACATCTCCCTACTTTTTCACGCCCTCACCCTCATATCTAGCAGAATGATTATAATAATATAAGGCATCAATCGGTAGAGAATTCAATGTATATTTATTCCAAGTTTTTTTCTTTCTTTTAATTAAATTGTTCGAAGGATTCCGCCGAAAATTGACATTCTTTTATTGGACCATCATGCAAGTAGGTTTCAATGTTTTTCGAAACTTTGTAATTCTCCCCTTTCAATTTCAAGTTTTTACA